ATTAAACCTCCAACATAGTGGAATCCTTCACATGTAAAACTATAGAACACTTTGATGCCGATTTCCAAGCACCTGGTTAAACACACAATTGAAATGAATTCAAATCGCAAAGGATTTTGATTTCTTGTCCATCCTGAGATGTATGCAGGTGACCCCGACATTTCTCAGCTGCAATTAAAAAATACCACAACCTCTGATGGAGCAAAACCAGACTGTTAACATAATCTCTCCCCTCCTGTAAGCACCTTCCTTGGCAACACAACTGATCTAATTGGCTCCTAGGTGAATTCAATCAATCATAAAAGCTCTTTACAAACCTTCCTGCATGACATAAAACACATTAGAAAATGTATAACATTTCATCCAAGTAAGCACAACACACAAGCGATTTTTTGAGAAAAGCATATTTTGCTTTATTTTATTTTTTTAAATTTTTTATTTAAATGAGAATTCTTCCAGATAAGAGCTAGTACAATCACATAGTTTTAAGAAGGGAGAAAAATTAAGTTGAACTGGGAAAACGAGGTATGTAGGGGCAAGTAATGGGGAAAATGGGTGGTGTGCAACTCTGACACCAAGCTGGGTGAAAGCAGGAGAATTTCTTTCTTTTCTGGGTCGCTTAAAAAGATCTCTCTTTAATATCTTTTTAAAAAAATATAAAACACTTGATTTCTATCACCTCACCACCTTCAAGACCTCTAGCTGACATGACAAGACTGCGGGGTTACTGCAGGCGGGGTTTAGGCAACTAGGAGGGTCACAAGTTACCAGCCTCTGCCTGTTCAATAATGGGTATGTTTGGCATTCTGCTGACCCTGGTGTAGAGAAACTCATTAACCACTGACGGCTAAGCTGCAGAAAAAAAATAGAGAGGTCACTGTAACACATCTCTTGTGATCTTGCAGAGCTTCACTTCCAAAGGATGCATTTTGCGTTCCAGAGACTGAATATTGCGCCAGTATATAGATGGCCTTACTTGGAGAGGAACTTGGTGCTGCCCCTTAGCAAATCAATCAGCATTTACCCATCACAGACAGTAGATGTTGAACATTTCATATACTGGGCCAGTAGATCTGCCTCAATTATGTCTGTAGGAGCTGTTTTTTGGGGGACTTTTACCTTTAGAAGGAACCTGTAATGATGGCCGATACTTGTAACAGTTGTGGTACTGGGCCCAGCCAATGCTGGAGACTGCCACTACCACAAAGCACCATTAGTTCCCAGGTATAGCAAACCTGTCCTATCCCATAACAAGCATTGTTTCTCAAGAGTCTGCCAGCCACAAGCTCTGGAGGAGAACCTCCGCTATAACAGACTGCAACCGTCCTGACAGGTTCTATTTATTCTGAACGCGGACCTGTCTGACCTCTCCCTGTTGCAATTAACACCGCCTGTATCTAAGCCTTTCCTTTAAGCTATAACAGACCTTGCAGAGCACAATTATACCTGACTGGATGTACCACAACACCAATTTTCATCTGCAGCGCCCCTAACAGAATGGAGTAAAAGCAAGGATGCCAGTTTGATTGAAAACTCCCTTTGCACATATGACCATCTCCCATGTCCAGGAAGCGCAAAGTCAGAGCAGTATTGGGTCTATGGTTAAAGACCCCTCATTTTGGGCCATTTTTTGAAATTTGAAAAGCCATGACACATCCTTTTATTCTTACACTGTGAAGTGAAAAAATAGGAGGGGACTTCTGACTAGCTATGTAAAGTACTGAGTAATTTTGGAGATGCACTGATAAATAAGACCCTTTCAAAATCATTGTATTGGTGATCACTCCCTTTGTAAATGTAAAGAAAGCAGTGGGAGATATAAATAAGCAGAATATTTCATCTATGCAGTACTTTATCTGGTTGTCCATCAGAGGGACCAATAATCCCTTCAGCGCAGGCTGTGTTCACAGATATAAAATACGGCTTTTTTACTTGGCCTCAGAGTAGGGACTTCCATCAGCTGTACATGTCTATATTCAGAGGCCATTGATGTGCAAGGGACTGTTTTCTGTAACGTTGGTGCAGCAGCAAGTCTAGCGTGTCAGGGGAATATATACAAATACATAACACAGACTAACTTGAAGGTAAAGCTTTTTGAAATAGTATAATCCTTCTGCTACTACATACACACTGTACACTGCATATATACAAAACCAGACTAGGAACCTTGTATTGCGCTGTGTGTTTGGGATACGGAAGGGGAATTCAGAACAAATCTTAATTCGTAGGCATGCATGATGCCCTAAGCTGTGACTTGAGCAGTTACATGGGCATTCAACCAGTAGTGGTTTATATGCGAAGGCCACACAGTCATTTAAAAACATGGGTACAGGCGATGTGTAGTTCTGGGAGGAAAAAAAAAAGCTTAAACAAAGCACTTGAAATTGTCCTTTAGGATGCGGCGTTTCTGTGTTAATAAAATTCATCCATCAATACCTGTAGCCCTCAATCCCGATTTGCAGTTTTTCACTTTTGCTATGCAGACTTGTCTAATGTGCCACAATCAAAATGAAGGCAGCAATGTAGGAATATTTTGAAAGTGGCTGATACTGAAAATACATTTAATGGACATATTTCCTTCTCCTCCCCACCACGTCCCTTTAAATTTGTTTGCATTTAAAAAGTCACCACTTAAATTCCAGGCTGTGTGACACCTCATCTCACCCCATTTCTTATTCTGCTGCCAGTTGTGGTCACACTTCCTGGCCCTTTGGATCACAGGGGGTGAAGAAATTATGGTGGCATCATAATGTGTGGGCACTGACTGCTGTGGTGTGCAGGTCTATGCAACCGGCCCAATAATATCCACTGCACAGGAATGCCACTTTGCTGCCACAACTACGTTCTTTACATTATATGAAAGTCAGACCAAATGATATGTAACCATATGCATAAATGTGTATGAAACAACAAGGAGAGGGGGATTTGTTGTTAACATACGTTTTCTAATGACATTAAGGCAGGTGAGCAGATATCCTAAGCTCCAGGTAGACATTGTGTCCCCCACAAAGGCTGACTTTTACAATGACTAGACTACATAACCACTGCTTGAGGGTTAAAATATGCATTTAGAATGAACATTTTAACCTATTATTTTAAATATTGTAATCACGTGATGCTTTTAGCCTCCTCTTTATTACAATAAAGACTGACTGTACATCTAACAGCAGTCTAATATAACACAAATAATCAAGATTTCTTACACTGTCAGTGCTGGAATATTCAGGAACTTAGGCCTGGGTAGTCTACACCCTAACATTGTCTTTGGGGTCTGAAGTCACTGGTGGGTTTGCAGACTGTTCATCTCAGCTATCCTTCACCAAAACACAGTTTTTACATTGGCAGGACTAGAATGTCACCTCTGTGGAATACAAAAGAGTACAAAGCTTCATACAGATCATTTAGCATCATCTATATGTCAGCTAATCTAACCTTAGCATATAAAGGTTCTGCATGACACAGTGTAAGCTGTGTCCAAAAACTTTAGTCCATTGTGGAGGCCCGCCAACGTAATACATGATCAACTTATATGTGCTAATCTGTAACTGGCACTATAAAGACTGTACCCACAACCCAATTCACACTTTTTCAATATTTTGGAAGCACACAAACATTAAAGCGACTCATTAAAAGGAGAACTATGGGGTCAGGGCTTTTCCCCATAGTTCTCCTAAGGGTCACGAGAGGACATAAACTAGCGTCCTCCCGTCACCCTAGGCTCAGTATACCGCAAGCTGTACTGAGACCGCCGCAGCTGGGACGGATCCCGACATTACTCTCGCGCGAGGGGGCGTGTCTGAGCGGACGTCTAGAGACGCCCGCTCAGATCTAGAGAGCTCCGGGCCGGCCGTTTTTCTACTTCGGCCGGCCCGGAGGCAGTTAAAAAATAAGCTTAAAGCGTTCTTGGCAAAACAGAACCTAGATACTCACTTTTGCTGAGGCCCAAGCTACTGATCGTTGTAATTATGGAGAATCGCTCATTGTAGAATCCTCAAAAACTTCCAGGAATGTCGATTTTGTGGATCTTTCCCATACTCTGTGGCTCCCCGTCACAGTAAAGACGTGGGGCTGGCAGATTGAGCTACAGTGTGGAGCAGGGTATAGGAACCTGACACAAGATTCATTAAGCTGGTCATTTCTCTTCATCATTGCAACAATGGAGCATGTAGGAGAAGAGGCGAGTATCTAAGATCTGTGCAGGAACACTTGATTTTAAGCTTATGGATTTACCAACAGAGGCGCTTTAACTTATTGAGAAGAACAAACAGCTTGCAAGAACATTTCAGCACTTAAACTGATTCCAGCTGTAGTAATCTCTCAGCTTTTACAAACACCAGAAGACACCTAGGGCTACCCACAGACATTGCCCCATGTGTTGATGGGCAAACTGCAAACTTTGCAGACACCGCTGGCCGACTATCCAAAATGCCTTTTTCCAGTCAATCATTACCATTCCTAAAAGATATCATGCTGAAGGTATTCTCACTGTATAAACATGATGGTCCAACCACAACAACCTTCCTCATAATGGTAACATTAACAATAGCTATCTTGCATCAGTGGCTAGGCATTTGCACAAGCCTAGAGGGATGGACAGCCATGAAAGAAAGTTGGTCAAATGCAATATACCGTTGTGAAAAGTCTAAGATGGAAGCTGTTGTTTGCAGGCTTACAGGAGCTACGCTACAGAATCGAAACAAGACACATTCAGCTTTGTTGGATGTGACATTCACTGCTCTATAACTAAATTGCAGCCAGTTGGCGTTTCAAACTGGAAGCTTCTACACATCGTTCCTCTGAGACATTTTTCATTTATGACAGATTCTCTTATATTTGTGACTTCAGCCTTTAGGAAGTCCTAACCTTACTATAGCTTTTTTTTTTTTAAATCGGCACATTAGCTAGAATTGAAAAGGCAAAACTTGTGTTTTGAAATTCTATAGCAAACCCTTTCCTCCCATTCAGAAGCATTCTACAGTACAATAAAATAAAATTCTGCAGGTTGTAAGCTAAGGCGGCATTAAATAAAAAATAACAGGGGAACGGAGTAAATTTGAAACCATATTTAAGAAACAAGTGATGCAATTTGCTGCTCTGTGTCAGATAGAAAAGAGAAGCAGGGACGTAGGATGGCGACAATTTTCCAACTGCATGGGCGCATGATGGGGTGGGGGGTGGAGTTGGCGGTAGCAAAGGTGAAAGGTTAAAGATGCTCCTGCTCACACAGAGGAGTCCATTCAGCGAGAAGTAAATCTAAGGAATGCGGATACAGGTAGTTTCCAAACTGTTCTGGGGAATTATTGTCCATTTGTCCATGTGATTGTGGCGGTAATGTGGAAGTCTCTCAAATGAGGAAGAATCCGCTAGGAGCAGGAGGAACCGGGTGTGGATGGGAGGCAGTAAGAACTAGTTGGTATTTACAAAGGGGAAGAAAACTGGAACCCATTCTTAGGCGGCACTCTCCTCCATTTTTGCCACAGAAGGCTTGATGGCCCCTGTCCGGACTGGCTTCATCTGGCTGGCTGCAGGCTGCTCGGGAAGTTTAGGAGAGCCCAGGCCGCATTTGCTGTCATCACTTCTCTGTTTCACCTACAAAAAAAAACAAACCTTTAAGCAATTCATTTTGCAATTTTTAAAGAAAGACTTACTGAGCAAGACTAAGCTTAAAACAGCTTTGGCATTCCTGTCCTTGTGGGGTGTATTTCGGTCAATCACGTTTTTTTACATTAAAAAGGTTACTGCTTTACTTCATAACAGTTGTGTTTCAAATATAGGAAGCAGGACTGATGCGCAGGAAATCCCTGCTTAGTTTAATGTTTACGCAGCATTTACGCAAAAGTCTTATTGATACTCATCTATGTGTACACAAGATTGAGGCATGCCCCTTAAAAAGCAAAAAAAAATCCTATGCAAGAAAATTTGCAGACAAGACTGGGATAGAGGCAAGTCACAAGACACTCACAGATCACATCAAATACATGAGGCGAAAGGTTATAAAACATGGAACAAACCTTTAACTAATCATAACCACAGGTAGTTCAAGGGGAATATTTAAAACATATCCGGGATAAGCTCATTCAACAACACACACAAAAATAAAATAAAAATAAAGTAATTTTTTAGCATGCAAACTGAACTGAGCAGGCAGGATATACGACCTTAAGACCAGGAGGTTTTATTCAATATCCTGGTCTAAACCTCATAAATCAGCACTGACTTATTCTTAACGGCTCCTCGGCTACCATCCAGAGATGGACATAGACTATGTACAAACCCGAATAGAAGGGCCACTTGATCACAGGGATTTTACCTGTTGAGGGTAGTGTCCCAAGTTGGCCGAGGGCACCGGTCCTGGTGACTTCCCGCTGGGACTAGCTGAACCTGGCCTTAAAATGAAAGGCAATGGTTTCAGAGCAGGTCATGTACACAACCACAACTAATGCCTCCTTAAAGAGTATGGGCTATGGGGGAGACAGATGAGATGGGTGACTGTAGAGACAAAGTGGAGGCATATCCTGCCTTAATCCACCCGTTGCCTGAATAGGCCGCTATCTCAGTCAGAAATGCATGAGGAAATAGGCCATGCAAAGGTTAAAGCATAAAAGGCACATTAAGCTAAAAGGGTTAGCATGATGTCACAGAGGCTCCTTTTACACTGTGAATTAGGCTTTGGACACACTGGCATTGTGTGTGGGTGTGTTCTGAAGAACAAGCACACAGATATGCACAGCACCAGTGACAAAGATAAGTGACACGCAGTACATTGGTGAGAAATGAAGGGAGAAAACACGTTCAGTTTACTTTAACATCACTAAGTCTCCTGTGTGGGACAGAAGCTGCAACTCCAATACTATAGAATAGTGGTACATTGCATCTGCTGTCCTTTAAATAAATCTGCCACAAAGTTGGGAAATTCAAGCCAAGCATAAGATGAAAAAAGGTTATATTTAGGCCTCATTCACACTAGAAACGGCCTGCACGTACAGCTCTGTGCTGCGTGCACGGCCGTATCGGGAAGGACAGGTGCTGCGTGTGATTAGTACGCAGCCCCTATCCTTCTCTATGGGACTACACAGCCATACGTAATTTTTTCTTTCAAATGTCGGGTGCAGAGCAAAAAGAGTTTTTCTTCCATCTAAATCCATGATACAGGGTTGCTGCAGGCAGGCTGAATCACACACCCGCTTCTTACATTATTTAGAGATGCCACTCTTTAGTTCCCAGCTCCACCAAGCCATTGCATGCATTATTAAAAAGTTTTGCTGCCGTTTTAAGATTCATTTTGTAATGACAAATACAGCAGAAGACGACCAATTGGATTAGAGGACATAACAGGAAACCGCAGCTGCAAGATTGCACAAATATCTGGGTGACAGAAAAAGCCAGTTTGGTTATTCAGCACGCCTGCATCCACTTATAAACAGTATTTCAGCTGTGGGTGTACAGACATTAACTAGTATATCAAACAGTCTGAAAAGCAGTGTTCTACACATGAGGTCGCTCAACCAAATAGCATCTGCTGATGAGTATAAAATCAGAGATTATGCTTGGTTGCAGCTGGCAGAAAAGGCACTTTTTTCTATTTTACAGAGAAGACAGACGATTTGTTCTATACAGTAAACACAAAAGAGAAAGCGAAGAAAACAGCTTGAGATCGAAGATGTTTAAAAAATAAACGAACCTTTAGCATTTCTTTATCCTTACCTGTCCCTGCAGCCTTTTCAAAAACATCAACTGCAAGGGGTAACTTATTCTGCAAATGACAGGAGTCTCTTATACAGGGCCCCCTGCCATCCGGGAATCACTGTGCTTCCAACTTGTCTTATTACAGCGGGAACTCTCAGACACCAGTAAAGGGGAGGAAAGATTGACATTATATTGGGGTAACTGAGCAGTCCCTCACTTTCCCCCCCTCAACTTCAACCCCAGTGCTGGTCAGAAGCAACTACTGCATGAAGAGATGTAAACACACCGCTTCCAAGCTGGAGAGGGACCATTATTTCAAAGTCTTGCTCATTAGTAAAACAGGTACCTCAGGTGACCATCTAGTTCACTCATTATGAACCAACTGAGGAAAAAACAAAATTCCATTGGTTTACCATTTGTAGGATTATGTTCTCTTTTAGCCTTCTCTTAGCTTCTCTTCTCACAGCTCCGTGCTGCATGCAGGGCTATACCTAGCAGCTCCCGGGAAGGACAGGTGCTGCGTGTGATTAGTACGCAGCCACCGTCCTTCTCTATGGGACTACGCGGCACTACGCCCCTCTCAAGTGCAGGTCCGTAGGGGTGTGTGTTTCCTGGCTCGGACGCAGACAGGATCCATCCTGTCAGCGTATGAGTACAGACACCCGCACGGACGTGCAGGGCGGGTGAGCGTACGGCCGCGTAGTCCCATAGAGAAGGACGGGGGCTGCGTACTAATCACACGCAGCACCTGTCCTTCCCGGGAGCTGCTCGATACGGCCGTGCACGCAGCACAGAGCTGTACATGCTGGCCGATTCCAGTGTGAATGAGGGCTTAGATGGCAAATGCATGTGAATCTTGCAAGTGAAAGTTCTTTATCTCACTCTGCCCCCACCCCCTTTATAAATCTCTACATTATGGTACAAAAACACGTACCTGTGGCCCAAAAAAATTAGAATCAATACTATCCTAACCACCGTTTTTCAGCACTGCAAAGGGTGACATCTTTTAGGTGAGACTCCTCCAAGATGATGCACTAGCACAGAGCAAGAGGGTCGTCTTATGAGATTTTGGATCCTTATTTTCAAGATGTCGTCAGAAGGATCGAGATGCTGCCCTCACCACAGATACACTGTTATATGCGATTTATTAAGGAGGAGAGGGCCTTCATCTAATGCTTTGTAATGCTAGGTCTGCTTTGATTCAAACTTTCAAAATGTTGTTTTCCACTGCTATTCTGTATCAGCCTAATGCTGAAATAATGTATCATGTTAAACTGTACCATTATCCCTCAATTCAAAATATTGAAACAGGTACCCTTGCGATCAACCCTTTTGGGCAGGCTATAGGGACAAGTAAGAATAATGGCAAATACTGAAAGAGCATTTACCCTTTAAGAAATCTGATGACACAACAAAAGGAAGACAAATACGCAGAATGGACATGCTCTTCAATACTTGTGAATAAATAGGATTGGTAATTATTCCATAATGCAGTGCATCAAGCAGTGATTGTGAAAAATTCAGTGACCCCCTCGCAACCAGACTTCACTTTATTACATAGACATTTCTGGGTAATATTGTAAAACTGGCATAAGAAGAAAGGACAGCTGACCCTTTGTAGAGACAAAGATATCTATTCTTACCTATAGGAGTGCTGTGCTTGCACAGATGCTGCAGTCTGCATGCCCTGTTTGCCATCTGCGAAGTGGAATCCTTTCATTTCCATCTGAGATGACTGTAAAGAGCCAGAAAAAAAAAAAAAGCAATGTTGGTGTGAGGCCTTGTTTATAGAGACGTCAATTTGTATAACAGCAATGTGTACAAGCAAGAATTCAGTCAGCTTCGAGGACCTATGTTGACCTATTGGTTTTTTGACTTCGAGACTTTCAAGGATCCTTCAGCTCCAGAATGGAAATAATAAAACAGATCTTGTTGGGAATGCTGGCTGTGCATTTACGCAAGCAGCTTTTCTTAAGTCAGCGGGTGGATCTCTTTGCTACTTTTTATCTACTTTCTTTGTTCTCTTTACTATGTGTGGGAAAGAGATCAATAGCTCAAGCTGAAATTAAGTGAATGACTCTGCACTTAACAGATGGCTCACTACAAGCTGTCAGCATATACCTGATCGTTGCAAAAACTCAATGTGGAGACTAAAGCAGTTTTTTTTTTACAACTGCATAGTGAAGGTCAGGTACGTGCTCTTCCACCATCTCAGCACAGAACCTGGTCATTGAGCTACATACATTGTCACGTGGTCAAAGTGCCTACTCTTACGCAAGTAGAAACTATAAAATCAAACACTTCAGGAACAACTGGTCAGAGTTTCTGCAGCAGATATTATGCACCAGCAAGGTGAAACTGTTCGCCATTTGCTGCTGCAATTAGCTTTATTTTTCACATAGGTGGACATTAAAGCTTGCACTTACCTCTCGTCCTGTAGTCAACATGGAAGGCTGCATTCTCCTGGGAGCACCGACTGGTAGGTTCTGTCCCTGTGGCAACTGAATAGACTGCGGTAGCAGCATTGGCTGCTGGCCAGAGCTATACCGGGGCATTTGAAGCTGAGACCCAGCCATTGGCATGGTTAACTGCAGGAACCAATTAATATACATCAGTTAAAAGACACTATTTAAAATACCCAGGTACACAAACACAATGTATGAGATTTACCTGCGTGAGTGCAGAGTCCATCATCTGAGAGGCGCCAATACCTGCCGCCTGGTTTAGCTGGTTCAGCTGGCTCTCATATACCAGTTGCTGACTTCCACTCATGGGCTGGTAAGGGGATCCAGGCTGCGTCTTAACCATCTCCAAAGGCTGCATGCCTGGAAATGGGGAGTACTGAGGCTTGAGACCAGTGCCGTTGGCCAGGACCATGGTATTGGGCTGGGACAAGCTGGGGTGCATGTACACCTGGGACCTAAACATAAAAACACAGTTAACTTTTAAGAAAAACCTCTATTACAGCAAACTCAAGATCAGAGATTCTGGTCACCTTACAAAACTGTTACCAAAGCAAGTCATAAGTTCCCTTTCTGAGTAAATGTTGTGACAAAAGGCATAATGTGAAGTAATTAAGTTCAGCAGGGAACAAAGACATGAGATGACGCAACAAAGTTAAGATAATGTCAGATTACAAGTACAATTATAGGAAGATGCTGCGGCGCTGCATCACCAATGAGTCTTTTAGTCCTCTATGGTAGCAGCTGTCAAAGTTTTATGGACAGGGACCACTATAAACCGTGTGAGAGAAACTAGAGTTTGACCATGGTCTACATTTCATTAACTTCTTAAACATGATCAAGTTTTAATAACTCACTACTAAGGCATAACTAAATACAAATCCCAAAAGTGCTATAAGTTTTTGTTTGCTTTGATAAATGCAAAAACAAAAATGTAAAAAGATCATTTATTCCAATGAACGCTCCTTCCCACCTGCATCATAAAGTATACAGAACATATTCTACATCTGCGTACAGTAG